CCCCCCCCATGCCTGGATGATAATAAGTGAAATGCACTCACCTTCTGGTTCGCCACAGAGGGTGCACTGTGATTCTGCAAACAGAAGCAAGACAAAAGAGAAGGCATTACTCCTACTGGATTCCATGTGATAGAGGGTTTAAATAACAAGAATACAAAGAAAACAACAAAACTGGAGCTTGAAAGACAGATAAAGCAATTTAACTATACCAGCATTGCAGAGTTTTTAAAAAATGAAGGCAATTCTGATATACATTAAAACATTTTCATTTAAATTTATATATGAAAATGATATTATTAAAATAATCTTTTATACGTATGTACACACATTATTATAGTTCTATAATTGTACATGCTCCCACATAAAAATTAATTACATAAAATATGAACCATTTGATTAATTTTAATATTCAAACTTTCAACTAAAATTATACTCTATCTTTAAGGTATAAAAAATATATATTCTTCATAGAGAATTCAGATTTAAGTTAGGCAAGATAAACAAGCTGGAGTAAAAAACAACAGGACTGAGAGTTCCAGAGGGCTACGGAAGAGAGGGAGGCGGTGGGGGGTGGGGGGAGGGGCAGAGGAAGTGGTGCTAACAAACCCAGGGACACGGGGACAACAAGTGATTCAAAATCGATGGCAAGGAGGGTGTAGGAGGCCTGGTAGGGTTTGATCAAGGGCAATGTAACCTAGAGAAATTACTGAAACTCAAATGAAGACTGAACATGATATTGGGACAAGAAGAAAGTAAAAGGAAATAGAGGAACTAGGAGGCAAAGGGCATTTATAGAGGTCTAAATACAGGCATGTACAGATTTAAATATTTTATATATGACATCGATCTATGTGCATATATTTATAGGTTTAGTATTAGGGTAGCAGATGGATATTCGGCCTCTACTGAAGTACTCCCTCAATACAGGAACATTTTGTTCTATTAAACTGGCATTCCATGATGCTTGACATGATCGCTGAAGACAAGGTGGGTGCTTAAGCTAATGTGGTGAAGAAAGCTGATGGTGCCTGGCTATCAAAAGATATAGCGTCTGGGGATTTTAAAGGCATGAAGATAAACAAGCAGCCATCTAGCTGAGAGGCAACAAAGCCCACATGGAAGAAGCACACCAGCCTGTGTGATCACAAGGTGTGGATAGGATCAGGTATCAGGAATCAAAGACAAAATAATAATATCATTGTGAATGAGATGGAGTGTGTGGAGTGGAGACCCAAAGCCCATATGTAGGCAACTGAACATCCTCTTACAGAAGGCTTGCGAGGAGTAGACAAGTCAGCTAGGGTGCAGTGTATCACTGATGAGACATACAACTTTCCTCCAGTTCTTTAATGCTTCCTTCCTCCCCACTATCATGATTCCAAATCTACCTTACAAATCTCGCTAGACCAGAGGATGTACAGTGGTACAGATAAGAGCTGGAAACACAGGAAATCCAGGACAGATAAACCCCTCAGGACCAATAATGAGAGTAGCAATACTAGGTGGGTAAGGGGAAGGTAAGAGAGGAGAGAGAGGGAGGAACCTATCAAAATGATCCACATATAACCCCCTCCCTGAGGGATGGACAACAGAAAAGTGGGTGAAGGGAGAGTTTGGACAGTGAAAGACATGAAAAAATAATAATAATTTATAAATTATCAAGCTTTGTGAGGAAGGGTGAGGAAAAAATGAGGAGTTGATACCAAGGGCTCAAGTAGAAAGAAAATGTTTTGAAAATGATGAGGGCAACAAATGTACCAATGTGATTGTCACAATGGGTGGATAAGAGTTGTATGAGTTCCCAATAAAATGATTTTTAAAAAAAGAGAAAGAATTCAGATTTGAGTATTCACTTTCCTGAGCAACTTTGGACAGTTGACTTAATCTCTCAGCTATAAAATAGACACAATTATATCTATATAAATAGGGGAACACACACCAAACCCACTGCCATTAATTCAATTCCAACTCGTAGCAACCATTTGGGACAGGGTAGAATGGCTCCATATGGTTACCAAGACAGCCAATGTTGACTCATAATGGCCCTACAGGTGTGATAGAGAAGAATACCCCCATAGAATTCCCGTTCTTTATGGAAGCAGTCTGCCAAGCCTTTTCGCCTATCAGTGGTTGGTGGGTTAGGGCTGTAGACATTTTAGCCAGTAGGGCTTCTTTGTATAAATGGGTAATTTATATATATATATATAAATCTTCAAAGAGGCAAGATGACAGAATGCCAAGTTGTCTTTTATGACAGAAAATGCTTCATCAGGACACCTCACATGGACTAGATCTTGAAGGATAGGTAGGGTTTCCAGTGGACAGAAACATGGGACAATAACACCCCAAGTCCACAGTAAAGGTAAAGGGAAGATGACAAATAGAAATGTTTGGCTGGAAGACAGTTTTTGTGAAGGGGATTAAGGGCAGACCCATTTAGGAAGAAAAATTGGGGACAGAAGGGACAGAGATTTGAACAATATAAAAGGAGGTGAGATTTTCTTGATAGAAAACTAGGAACCGACAATGGTTTCAGAGGTAGAGAGCGGTGCTATCATAATCATTCCTTGAGAAAATCACCATCGTGGGTGACAGAGAGCAAGATGGAGGTGAGCCAGGCCAGATCATGGGCTGAAAGACCAGTAAAAAGACCATTATATTTCAACACTTTGGGGCTTGAATCAGAAAGTGTTTATTGTGGTGCTGAGGTGGATAAACCAGGTGAGAGATTTAGATAAGAGTGTAAGGGAAAAAAAATTGTTATTTAAAACTAAGACTGACTGTGAACTTTTCTGAGTTCTCAGAGACAGAGTGATTATATCAGAAGGTAATCAATCCTTGACTGCTCTGTTCCCGTCGTAGAAGCCATGGAGGATGAAAGGAACAAAGAAGAGACCAACATTTCTGAGGCTTTGCCAGTTTTGTTGTGTCTAAAGGGACTTACAGTATATGCATTCTTAGGCTATAAAGATGAGCACATAGATTGATGGCTCTGAATAGCAGAATCAGGGAATCCCAGAAAACTGTACGACCAAAATGAAGGCAACCTCCACCACAAGGAAACACCCACCAGGGAGCCTGCAGCCTTCAGGACAGCATTCCATGAACAAAGTCTGCAAATGAACCAAAGCCTCAGCGTGGAGTGATGTTCTAGGTCAAACAGGAACTCATGGGCAGCACAAATGGTCAAGCGCGACCAGCCAGAAGCTGGTCATTTGAAGCCACCCGGAGGCACCTCAGAAAACAAGCCTGCTGCCCTACTCCCCAAAGCTCATGCCCTTGACGGCCCCGTGGAGCAGTTCTGCACATGCAAGGTCGCCATGAGTCTGAATCAACTCGACAACTAACAGAAAAAGCAACCGTGTGGTAAGCGATGGCTGGCAGAAAAGGGGAGGCAGTCCATCCTCTGTCATTTTAGCTGAAACCAGCCTTGAGCATTCACTAGGGAAAGCATAAACCATCCCTTGCTTGACTCTCTGCAAAACCACAAAGATGAAGCCTTCTCATGGTTTTATACGATTAATGGGAAAATATCTTTCATTTGAATTTCAAAGCACTACATGCCTGAGCTGATACCTGGTGTGTGGACCGCTCGCGAGGATTTGTGCACACTCAGACATGTACCTGTGGGCGCAGAGAGCATGGTGGAAACACAGTATGGTATCAGACCAATGTGTACCTTTTCGGGGGGGGGGGGGAATCCCTCAGGGACACATGAAGGGAAAGGGCACAACACAGATTTTTGGGTATTACAGTAACTTTGTTTTGCAGTGAACTCTCTTACTAAGAGCTACTGGCAGGAGTCACTTAGAAAAGAAGCTACTGAGTCATAGAAACACACATTGCTTTAAATAACCTACGCCCTGAAAATTCTATGTTAGACTCAGGATGTTAAAAGTGATCTCTGATTATAGATCCAAACAAACAAATAAAAAGTGATGAATTACATGTGTCCTGAAGTGTAAATTTCTACCACTCATCTGTTCATTTGTCATACTGTGGTGGCTTCTATGTTGCTACAATGCTAGAAGCTATGACCCTGGTATTTCGAATGCCAGCAGATCACACCCACGATGGTCTGGTTTCAGACTAAGAAAATCTAGAAAAGCCCGATAACAAGGTTTTGAATATTAGACAACAAAAACAATATTGTCCAGTATAGAGCTGGAAGATGGGCCCATATGTTTGAAGAGACGCAAAATCCGAGGGACAGCAACAATGGATGAGGTCATCCCAACAGTCGTCAAGGTGGCTCCAGAACAGACTGGGGTGCCTGCTGTCAGCTGACTCCACAGCAACTCACTGCACTGATATTGCCACTTGTTAGAATCATTCCAAAATTAAAGAAATCTCTTTAGTTCTCTATGATTAAAAATTCCTGATTTGACCAAAGAAACTTTTGTTTCATATTTATGAATATGGTATGGAGCATATACTTCAGATAACAATAGAATCCTCTGACTGCCTTACTCTCTGGAGTATACTGTTCAGCATGCTAAGTGTCATGTCCAGGTCCACACTGTGGGCCAGGCTCTGTGCCAATGCCAGTTCTAACATCTGTACATAGTGGCTCTTTTCTTTTTTTCTTTTTAATCATTTTATTAGGGGCTCATACAACTCTCATCACAATCCATACATACATCAATTGTGTAAAGCACATTTGTACATTCATTGCCCTCATCATTCTCAAAACAAGTCCTCTCCACTTAAGCCCCCAGCATTAGGTCCTCATTTTTCCCCTCCCTCCACACTACCCCCTCCCTCATGAGCCCTTGATAAATTTATAAATTGTTATTTTGTCATATCTTGCCCTGTCCGATGTCTCCCCTCACCCACTTCCTGGCTGTCCGTCCCCCAGGGAGGAGGTCACATACAGTTCCTTGTAATC